TTCTGGTTTCCTAGTGGCATTCTGACAAGACTATACCACAAATGGGATGACCTTAACAAACAGGAGTTTATTCTCTTACAGTTTGGGAGACTAGAAGTCCGAGTTCAAAGTGCCATGTTCTAGGGGCTATGTGAAAGCCCCTCCACCTTAGGCTTCAGCTCTGCCTCTTGCTCCCAGCCCACCGAAGCTAGAGGCATCTCCACTCAGGCAGCTACTGGCTGCTTAGGCTAACAACCCCAAGGCCAACAAATAAAATGGCACAGTCCCGGTGTTACCAAACCATACGGCAGGCCATTAATTCAAGTCCGTTTTAAGTCCCAAGGTTGGCAGAGCATGAAAGGCTGCTGAACAACGACATGGCTACATGCTTGGTCCAAACATGCAATATGCTGGAGGCCATTCCGCAAGGCTTCGCCTTTGTTACAGGAAGCAGCCACATCCCTAGGGCAGCTACTCAGCTGCTCACAGTAGATTCCGCCTTTGGAGTTGATTACCAGTCTCATCATGGGGAATACCACATCCAGCTGCTCAGCCTCTCAACCAAGGCCAGCCAAGATGACACACAGACGTAACTACCACACCATGATATGTTCAGTATTCTTCACCTACACCATAATTCAAATGCATCAGTTCTTCTTTGGTCTTCTTATTCCTTGACCAGCTTTCACATGCATATGAGGCTATTGAAAATACTATGGCTTGGGTTAAGCACACCTTTGTCTTCAGAGTGACATCTTTACTCTTTAACACTTTAAAGAGGTCTTTTACAGCAGATTTGCCCAGTGCAATACGTTATTTGATTTCTTGATTGCTGCTTCTGTGGGTGTTTATTGTGGATCCAAGTAAAATGAAATCCTTGAAAACTTCAATCTTTTCTCCGATTATCATGTTGTTGTTTATTGATCTAGTTGTGAGGATTTTTGTTTTCTTTGTGTTAAGGTGTAATACATACTGAAGAGTGTAGTCTCATCTTCATCAGTAAGGACTTCATGTCCTCTTCACTTTCAGCAAGCAAGGTTGTATCATCTGCATATCGCAGGTTGTTAAATGAGTCTTCCTCTAATGCTGCATTCTTCTTCATATAGTCCAGCTCCCTGGATTATTTACTCAGCATACAGACTGAATAAGTACGGTGGAAGGATACAATCCTGATGCACACCTTTCCTGATTTTAAACCACACAGTATCCCCTTGTTCTGTTTGAACGATAGCCTCTTGGTCTATTACAGGTTCCTCATGAGCACAATTAAGTGTTCTGGAATTCCCATTCTTCTCAGTGTTATCCATAATTTGTTACGATCCTCACAGTTGAATGCCTTTGCATAGTTCAGCCAAGATCCATCTGACATCAGCAGTGATATCTTTCATTCCATATCCTCTTCTGAATCCAGCTTGTTCAATAATTTCCACATTCTTTGGACCACTTTTCTTTTGAATAGACAGAAATATGGAGTTCTCCTAGTAGGTTGGCCAAGTAGCTGTCTTCCAGATTTATTGGCATAAAATGATAGACAGGTCTATAAGGTGAACAGTAATAACAAGAGGGTATGCACTTGGATGACTTAATCATATGAGGTCAAGAGGACATCATTTGCCCAGGAATAGAACTAGGAAGGTGAGAAGGGATAAGAAGGAAGGATGAAGAGAAGGGGTGGGTACAGGGAGTTGTTGAATGGAAAGCCAATTTGCTCTATAAGCTTTCACCCAAATTGCAATAAAAGATAAATAAATAAAGAGGAAAAAAATTATTGGCATAGACAGAGTGAATACTTCCATCATTGGAATGGTTTGTTGAAACATTTCAATTGATATTCTGTCAATTCTTGGAGTCTTGTTTTTTGCTAATGCCTTCACAGCTTGGACTTCTTCCTTCTGTACCTTCAGTTCTTGATCATGTTCTACCTCCTGAAATGGTTGAACATTGACCAATTATTTTTGATGCTTCCTGTGTTGCTCAATATTTTGCCCATAGAATCCTTCAGTTTGACAGTTTGAGGCTTGAATTTTTTCTTCAGTTCTTTCAGCTTGAGAAATGCCAAACATGTTCTTTCCTTTTGCTTTTCTAACTCCAGTTTTTTGCACATTTCATTACAATACTTTATCTTCTTGAGCTGCCTTTAGAAATTTTCTGTTCAGTTGTTTTATGTCATCTTCTCTTCCATTCACTTTATTGCACATTCAATAACAAGTTTCAGAGTTCTTCTCACATCCATTTTTGTCTTTTATTTATTCCTTGTCTTTTTAATGAGCTTTTACTTTCTTCAATTACATTGTCCTTGGTATCATCCAACAGCTCATCTGCTTTTCAGTCATTGGTGTTCCATGTGTCACACCTATTCTTGAGATGGTCTCTAAATTCAGGTGGAATATGATCAGTGTTGTACTTTGGCTCTAGTGGACTTGTTTTAATTTTCATCAGCTTCAACTCGAACTTTTATATGAGCAGTTGATGGTATGTTTCACAGTTGGGTCCTGGCTTTGTTCTGACTAGATGATACTGAGCTTCTCCGTCATCTTTTTCCAGACATGTAGTTGATTTGATTCCTATGTATTCCATCTGGTGAGCTCCAAGTGTACAGTCAATATTTATGTTGTTGAAAAAAGGTATTTGCAATGAATTAAGTTGTTGGTCTTGCAAAATTCTATCATGCAATCTCTGGAGTTTTTTCTATCACTGAAGCTGTATTTTCTAATTACCAATACTACTTTGTTTCCAACTTCCTCATTCCAATCATGTTATCAATGTATCTTGATTTCATGTTTGGCCAGTTTCAGACTGCAGAAGTTAGTAAAAAATCTCCAGTTTCTTCATCTTTGATTTTAGTATTTGGTACATAAATTTGAATGATATTCATGTTAACTGGTTTTCCTTGTATGCATTTGGATATTATCCTATCACTAACAAACATTGTACTTCAGTAGAGTGGCTATAATCAAAAAGATAGATAATAAAAAGTGTTAATGAGGATGTGGAGAATTGGAACCTTCATATACTGCAGTGGGAATGTAAAGTGGTACAGCTTCTTTGGAAAAGAATCTGGCAGTTTTTTAAACAATTAAACATAGAGTTACCATATAACCTAGCAACTCCACTCCTAGGTATATACCCAGGAGAAGTGAAAACATATGTCTACACAAAAATTTGTACACAAAAGTTCATCACAGTATTATTCATAATAGTGAAAGAGAAGAAAAAAGCCAAATGTCCATGAACTGATGAAATGTGGAATATTATTCAGCCATAAAAAATAATGAAGTACTGATACACGCTACAACATGAATGAATCTTGAAAACATTTTACTAAATGAAAGAAGCCAGTCACAAAGGACCACATATTATATGATTCCATTTATATGAAATATCCAGAATAGGCAAAAATATTGACAGAAGATAGATTAGTGGCTGCCTAGTCATACAATAAGGACTGAGGGATAACAGCCAAGAGGGACAGAGTTTCTTTTGGGGTGATGAAAATACTATAACAATGATTATGTCAGTTTCCTTGTATGAAACAAGTCATTGAGCTTGCCAATGAGCCTACTGATCTTTAAGCTTCAGAGCTTCAATGAAGCTTTACTGCTCTCTAAGGATCCTTGTGGGAACTCTGGTAGCATAGTGCCTAAGGCATTTGACTGCTAACCAGAAGGCTGGTGGTTCAAACTCACCAGACACGCCTCAGAAGGAAGATGGGGCAATCCACTTCTGTAGTGATACTGCCTCAGAAACCCAAGGAGGGGTCGCTATGAGTCGGGTCTGACTGAACGGCACATAACAACATCAACAACAACAAGGATCCTTGTGAGGAAAGTGTTTGTTCTTGTTGTTAAAAAGACAATAGCTTCTAGTAGTGATGAAAGCAAAGAGATTCAAGAAAGTTAAAGTTTTTAACCATAAAATAGAATGGATTCACAACTCTGTGAAGATAATAAAAACCATTGAATTGTACACTTTAAATAGGTTGTTGTATAGTATGGGGATTATATGTTGTTTTGGTTTTCTAATGCCACTGTAACAGAAAACACCACAAGTGGATGGCTTTAACAAAGAGGGATTTATTCTCTTACAGTTTAGGAGGCTAGATGTCCAAGTTCAAAGTGCCAACTCTAGGGGTTGGTTGAAGGTCCTTCAACCTTGGGCTTCAATCTTCCTCTTGCTCCTAGCCCACTGGAGCTGGAGGTATCTCTTAACTCAGGCAGCTGATGGCTGCTGAGGGTGACAAACCCAGGGTCTACAAGTAAAATGGCAAAGTCCCAAGATTATCAAGCAACATGGCAGGCCACTAGTTCAAGTTCAGAAACAGTCCCAAGATCATCAGGCACGTGGCAGGCTGCTGAATGAAAACTCGGTTAAATGTAGGGACCAAGTGTGCCAAAAATCTCAGAAGCCTTACTCAAAGCTGCTTTAACATTTGCAAAGGGATATATATGGTCTATGACCTTTGAAAATGCCAAGTTAATGAATACAAACCATTATAAGTTATTGATGAAAACATTGTTATATATGGAAGCAGACCACACCCCAAAGGCAACAACTCAGCTGCTCACAGTAGATTCTACCATGGAATTGATTACCAGTCTCATGAAGGAGAATACTACATCCAGCTGTCCAGCCACTCAAAACCAGATCCAGCCAAGTTGACATATAACCTTAACTACCACATATGTCAATAAAGCTGTATAAAAAATCAGCTGTGAAACTTTGTGAAAATATAGATGGTGAAACCTCAGCAGTAATTTCCTGAATTTGATTCTCACAATGAGACTGAGCATGTATGTATATTTTTAAAAAAGCTTCACAAGTGATTGTAATGTATAATCTTGGTAAGAACCCCTGAGTTACAGGTAACTTTGAATTTTTTAATAGGAGTTTCTGCGATAGTAATGAAGATCCTAGCTTTCTCTGACATGAAATACATTGCTTTATTGACAATCTAGTATATAATATGCCATACTTAATTACTATGAATTCTCTAATGCATGTTAATTATTTTTTAATTGTAGGTCATTGCTTAGAATATGCTGTTATGTTGGATAAAGAAGCCAAACCTTACAAAGTTGATCCTTTTGTAATTATGATTAAGTTTCTGTTGGGGTAAGTCTTAATATCAAGATAATGATGTTAATTTTGTTTTATATACAAAACATTTTATTTGACATTATGCATATTAAATTTTCATACAAATATGGAGATTGACTTCTTTCATTAAATGAGATTTTTATAGTTGGAGGAAAACCTAGTAAATATATTAACATTTCTTCAATTTCATTTTTAAATAATTGTATATATTACCACTCTGGTGATGTAGTGAGTAGATAAGACTGCTAACCATATGGTTGGTGGTTCAAACCCACCATCTACTCTAAGGGAGGAAAATGAAGCAGTCTACTTATGTAAAGATTTATAGCCTTGGAAACCCAATGGAGGTTGCTATGAGTCAGAATTGACATGATAGCAGTGGGTAGATATATATCAGTCTAGCCCCTGGGTGGTGCAAATGGTTAAGCCCTCAACCACTAGCCAAAAAGTTGGCAGTAAGATAGACCTGACCATCCTTCCAAAAGGTCACAGTCTTGAAAACCCTACAGAGCAGTTCAACTCTGCACCCATGGGGTCACCATGAGTCAACATTGACTCGACAATAACTAACAACAAGAACATATCAACCTAAGCTTAGACTATAAATATACTAGGCCTTTAACATTTGCAAAGGGATATATATGGTCTATGACCTTTGAAAATGCCAAGTTAATGAATACAAACCATTATAAGTTATTGATGAAAACATTGCCTCAGATCACATTCTCTTGCTTTCCATACAAAATATATTTTAGAACTCTCTATCCTATTTAATATTCCCTTCTGAATTTATTCACATTTTCTATTTTATGGTTAAAAACTTTAACTTTCTTGAATCCCTTTGCTTTCATTACTGCTAGAAGCTATTGACTTTTTAACAACAACAAACACTTTACTTACAAGGATCCTTAGAGAGCAGTAAAGCTTCATTGAGACTCTGAAGCTTGAAGATCAGTAGGCTCATTTGCAAGCTCAATGACTTGTTTGATACAAGGAATTCAAATTTATTTTTCAGTAAAATTATAAATTACTAAGCATCACAGAACTTTAGGGACTCTAGCGAATGGTCAGACACCTCAAATCATGTATCTTTGAATGTCAGTGTTGACTTTTTTTTTTTAATTTGCTTTTATTATGTGTTTTCTTTTATCTACAGGTATAAATGGTTTAAAGAATTATGGGATGTATTATTGTTACCAGAATTAGATGCCATCTATTTAACTAGTCAGAGTATGTGTTTCCCCCTTGTGTCCTTGATTCTTTTTCTCTTTGGAACATGTACTGCCTACTGGAGTGGCCTACTCTCTTCTACATCTGTGAGGCTGCTTTCTTCATTGTGGCTAGCTTTGAAAAGGTAAAGAATGAATGATTAAAAACTTATTCGTTGCTCTTAAAACAAATATATATATATATATATATATATATTCTAATAAGGAACTTTAAAATAATTTATTTTCAGTAAACTTTAATTTATAAGGAAAGATGTTTAACTAGCAAAAATGTGGATTAGTTTTCAAGTTATGTCATTGTCAAAGCAAAGTAGGTTTTTTTTTAAATTTCACTGTTGTAAATTTTCTCAGGCAGTGCATTTATTGCTGCCTTCTGTAATCAAACCATAGAACAAAAGACTCCATTCAAGATATTTAGGATTAGCATAGATGAGATGTTATAAGAGCTTCAAAAATGTTGCCTAGGGTTTTATTGTAAGCCCAGAGACTCAGTTTTAATTTAAATTACTGAGGTAGTTTATTTTGCCATTCATTCTCACCAGACCTATTATGCAATTTACTAACATGGAGAGGAATATAGTGTAGAACTTCATCCTCCACTCATTTGATGTGCTTCTGACAGGGGTTTCTGTTACTAACACCTAGCATCTGAGTGATTGAAGCTCTAAGAAATAGGAAGTTGTTCCTCCTCATGTCAAGATTGGAGATGCATGACAAAGGGCCTATAATTAATGATTATTTTTTGCAACAATTTTTCTGCCTTAGTATAGCCATAGTATATCAAAGTGGAAGAAGAGCTACCACAGTGTTACAGAACTTACAATCAAATATATGTGACTGTTTACTTTTATTAAAAATACCTTACTATTTGCCTTTTGGGAGCTCTGGTAGCATAGTGGCTAAGACACTTGCCAGCTAACCAGATGGCTGGCGGTTCAAACCCACCAGCCACTCCTCGGAAGGAAGGTTGGGCAATCCTACTTCCGTAGTGATACTGCCTCGGAAACCCAAGGAGGGGTCGCCATGAGTCAGGGCCGACTCGACGGCACATAACAACAACAACAAAAACATTTGCCTTTTGATACTTACTTATTAATAAGCAGGAGAGGTTGACAAAGTACTATATTGTTTTCTTATATGTGACTGTGTAACTGTATATATGTTTTTGTTTTTAATTTTTTTAAAAGCTTTGTTCTTGTTATTCCAGACCATCTGAACTTCCTAAAGATATCAAGATTATATCGCCGGATTTGCCCTTTTTGACAGTAGTTTTGGTCATAGTTAGTTGGGCAACTTGTGGAGCATTTGCCATACTTCTTACTTATCTTTACTATGTGTTTAAGGTATGTCAAATAATAAAGCTAGAATGGCTGAGCTTTGTACCAGGCAGCCATAGAATTTCCTATAGATATTAAAAAAAAAATTTTAATTTAGCAAGGCAATAACATGTTATGTAATAGGCTTATATATATTTTAAAAACACTTTTGTTGTTTAAATTATATACAATTAACTATAGAACTGAAATGATTACTCTGAGTTGGATTTCTTTGTTTTAAAAAAATCATGTTTCAGGTTGCTTTCTTCTCTTGCAAGTGTTGTTAACTTTTACAAAAACAATTTTACCAGAGCAGTTTTTATTCATACCTCTCTTCTGAGCAAGGGTGATAGACAAAACAAAAAGTTACGTCAGTGGGATCAAGCCATCAATCCTGCTAAGATAATATAGAATATTACAAATGTTGCTGACGAATCAGAAGACAATTATAAAAATAATTAGGCTGATAATTTTACTGACAAAGTGAAAAACATTCCCAAGAAGGCTACAGCTTTGCAGGAAAACCTAGGAAGTAATACAACTGTGTATTTTCTATACTAATCTTATGGAAAAACAGTTGATAGCTTTGAAAAAAAAAAAAAAACCCAAACTCAACTGCCATTGAGTTAATTCCAACTCACAGTGAACTCCTTTGGGTTTCTGAGGCAGTAAATCTTTATGGAAGTAGATTAATTTCTAAAAACCAAGTATATTTGCTTCTGATTTGATACTAATACATATACATTATAGTTATCAGTTTGAGTTTTTTGATATCCAAAGGAAATTTATGTGCATCAGAAAAACTACTTAGAGCTACTTTGATTTATAAATATAATATTCTTAGTTTTTAAAAAAATACAGTAAGTACTTAAAACAACTGACCCAAAAGCAAAACTTTCTCAAATACTTAAATAACTTAAGGAAATAATAAATTAAGCTTGTGTATTTTCTCAGGTTCCATGAACATTTCACAACTGTATATAGTGGAGTTCATATTTTCAAAGATTAAAATATGTAGAATATGTTAAACTCCTTGTACTATGTTGAATATAATCACATTCACAAGACACTGGAAGATCTTACAAGGCACCACTTAATCATAAGCTCCCAGGATGTAGATGGTATACCAAAGCAGTCTGGCCTCCAGATACTCTAGAAGTTTGTTTTGCTTTGTTTCTGGTTTTTTTTTATCCATGATAGCAAACTTGTAATTTATTATCCTCTCTAAAAAACGTTTTTAAAATGTTTAAATGAATTTACAGTTGTTGAGATATTATTAAATTTCTAATTATAATTCTCAGCGTTAAAAAAAAGTAAGATGATTTTGAGGGGGTTTCAAAATAAAAGTAAAATTAAAAGTCATTTCTTTTTCCTAGATTGTTCATCTCCAAGCCAGCATAACAATTTTTAAAAATAGCCAGACTGTGGTAAGTTTCATTTTGAAAATTCTACATCATTTTCATGTGAAAGAACATGGGAAAAAAAATACATGTTTATTTTTAAAATAGGTTAGGATTTTACAGTGTTTCAAAAGTTATTATGAATTTAAGTAACTTTAAGAAAAGTAAATCTAAGGAATGTTAAATCACATCTGTATCATTCAATATTTACTTTTTAAATGCTTTGATCTTTGTCAGTTTTTAAGTCATTTTTTTTTACAAATTATTATCTTTTAAGTTTTATTTTGAGTGATTACTTAGAAATATATTCTCAGCAGTGGAAATAGCAAGTCAAAGGAATAAAAGTTTTATAATTAATAACCATTTTAAAGTACTTTTTGAACAAGGTAATTTCAGTATTTGTATCATTTTGATAATGTAAGGATATTCTTATCTAGATGTTAAATAATTAAGTATGATTCTAAATAAAACAATTATTTTTATGTGTATATTTAGTATCTTGATGTTTTTACTTACTATTTTATAGAACCCCAAACACACTAGAAGAAGTGAAAAGAAATCCAGTCACCATAAGGACTCTACAGTACACCATCTTCGTTTGTCAGCTAGTGATGCTGAAGACAGTCTTCGCATGCACGATACTGTAATTAACTTATTAACCTGGATAGTATTACTCAGTATGCCATCTTTAATTTATTGGTTAAAGAATCTTAGGTATGTTTTATTTATATAATTATAATTTATTTGGTTCAAACAATAAATAGTTGTAGGTAAAGACTTGCTAGATTCCTAATGGTCAAAAAAGCTTCCTCAAGAACCAGAAGCTATGTAATTACCTGAAATTTCTTTTCAATACATTTACATTTTCTTCCTTATAACGAAAATATAAAATTTTGGAATATAAACTTCCAAAAATCTACCCAAGAAAGAGTATTTGTATTTTTTTAAAATTTCACCTTTAATCTTATTTGTGTCTAGCCATATATGAGAATAGACTTTGTTTTATGGATTTAAGGTTTTCATAATGCTACTGCTTAACACATTTTTGAATTTATGATTCAGTTTTATGTTTTCTAAAGTTTGGGGGAACAAAAATGCTTACATTTAAAAATTTCAGAAATAGTGAAACAAGTGTGTATTTATCTAATGTGCCTCATGTGTTGAATACAGTAAATGATCAGCTATTTTACTATCAAAATCATCATTTGCTGTGTTGCTCTGTTACATTTCTGACCCCAAATCTGGATCTTGATTAAGGTGAAGGACAAAGGAACACATTAACATCTATTAATCTGTGATTCTGAATCTGACTTGATTTCAGAATCACAGATTACCAGACGTTAATGTTTCCTTTATCCTTCATTTTAATCAAGATCCCGATTTAGAGTCAGAAATGTTTGAGGAGCACAAATTTATGAATCTGAAAGACTATAGACATCACACTGTTGATAAATTCTAGATATGAGAATTTGGATTTTAAAATGATAAGAGAATTATTTTATGTAAATCTTTGTTTTATTGTTTTCTTAATAGAACAATTTCAATATATTTTAAATTATTTGTTTTATAAAAACTTTGTATGTGACCTTTTAGGTATATACCTATTATAAAAAGGAAGTACTTCTATTTATTTCCTTTATTAATTTCTAATGTAATTCTTAATCTAAAACTTTGGATTTAAAGATTATGTAGAGCAAAAGTTGCTTATCTGGGATTTCATGAGGTATTTAGAGCTTTCTTATATCCATGTAGCAATTGTGATGTTCTGAAATTTATTTGATTGATTCTGATAATTTAAAATGATTGAGTCTGCTTTGTTGGTTTCTGCTTTGTTTTTCTCTCTTTGATACAGGTATTATGTTAAACTTAATCCTGATCCGTGTAAACCTTTGGCATTTATTCTTATTCCAACTATGGCAATTCTTGGAAATACTTACACTGTTTCAATAAAATCAAGGTATAGTAATTTAGTCTTTCTTTTTCTCATATCTGTTCGTAGTCTTTATCACCCTTTATTTTGTCATATTTTATGCTTTTTACTCCCAGTTACTTTGATAATTCCTAAAGATAAAGCCATAGCAGGAATTATGATTCATATGCACCTGGTATACTATACTCATTTTCTTAATTATAGACTTTACCTGTTAGAATATATATTTTTTTCTTAAAAAATTATCTCTTAAAATGATATGTTGTCTAGGATTTGCTTCTAAAAAGTACATGAAGAAGAGAAGTGATGGGAGGTAGAGGTGAAGTGAGATTGGCCGTGGTTGATAATTTTTGAAGCTAGGTAATAGGTGCATGAAGGGTTTGTTAAACTATTCTGTCCACATTTATGTTTGAAATTTTCTACAATTAGTTTTACTTTTTGTTGACTCGTTGATTACTCTGGAAGTCTTTTTTATGTGATTCTCATAGAGATGTATAGAACCAGGCAGACCTGGGGTTTAATTTTGGCTTTAATAGCTTTATGTCCATAGACAAGTTTCTTAACCCGTCTTATCCTCCGTTTCTCTCTTCTGAGAGTAAAAGGGGCAGTAGTCTTTCCTGGTAATATTTTTCTTTTAGGAATATTTAGTGTTTTATCTCACATGCTCCTGTTATTGGGAAATAAGGATGTTTCTGTTTGTTTTGATTTTGTTTGGTTATTATAAGTAGTGTTAAACATTTCTGTAGCTTTGTCGTCATGAGCATTATTGATTATTTTTGTTAATCAGTATTTTTGTTTATTGATAAATTTCTAGAGGTAGAATAGCTGAGTAAAAGACATATTAGTAATTTTAAAATTTAAAAGACTATGCAAAAAATAGAATTGTTTTTTTCATTTTCTAGCCAAACTAAGGCTTATATTGATCTTTTAAAAAATTTTGTTGTTATGTGCCATCAAGTCGGACCCAATTCATAGTGACCCCTCCTTGGGTTTCCAAGGCAGTATCGCTATGGAAGTAGATTGCCCAACCGTCCTTCTGAGGAGTACCTGGTGGGTTTGAACCTCCAGCCTTCTGGTTAGCAGTCAAGTACCTTAAGCACTACGCCACCAGAGCTCCCTGAAAAATTATAGACAGGCTAATTCATTATATAAGAAAGTACTTCACCTAGAAAACTTAACTTTTTCAAAACTGTGTAAAAGATTAACATATACCACTTTGGTTCACAGTTTATGTAATAATGTATATTTCTCTTTCTTCTTGCAGTAAACTGTTGAAGACTGCTTCACAGTTTCCACTTCCTCTTGCTGTTGGTGTGATCGCTTTTGGGTCAGCTCACTTATACAGGGTTCCATGCTTTGTCATCATTCCTCTTTTACTCCATGCATTATGCAACTTTATGTAAGATTGTATTTAAAGAACAATAAAGATGATTTATGCTTTTAAGGCCAGTTATAAGAAGGGAATGCACAGATCCATCAACATGGACATCAAGATCCTTTGGAGAAGACGAGTCTATTTTTACAGTATTGAAAATAGGAAATTAGTTTTGTAATGCTTGACGGAAGTAGTTGAAGCATGGTTGTTATTTTTCATTTTTTATTTTTTGTGGTGTGGTATCTGTGTACTAACCAGTTTTGGGAAAATTACTAAAGGGATATTGGTAGTTGACATCTTTGAGGACTATTGGGGATATCAGCTAGCCTGCTTGGTTGAGGATACCAGGGATCTCCTAGAGACTCAGTAGATGCAGCATTGTTTATAATCTCACCTCAAGCATTCTACTCTTGTTTTATGAAACTTTCTTCTGAAAAGTCTGTTACTCTGTATTTGCTACAGTTTACATATTGAGAAATAAGTCTTAAAATATTGATGAAATTTACAAATGCTTGGTTTCTTAAAAGTGAAACAGTCTGAAATAGCCTTTGGTCAGTTTTTGGCAGCCATGGTGAACAAAGTAGATCTTTTGTTTTCTTACATTTGAGAACGTGTACCTTTGAAATGGAAGGAAACATGTTTTCTTCATAGCCAAGGTAAGATGGATACATAGAAACATAATTCTAACTCACAATGTAATGAAATTTTCTTGGTACTTTTTAAATACAAATCTTATTTTGTATTGTAGGTAAATATTTTTTTAAAAAACGTTGCCAAGTCATTTCTGATTCAGGACGACCCAGTATATTTCACAGTAGAAATTTCAGAGTGCCCCATAGGGTTTTTAGTGGTTGGTATTTCAGCAGCCTTTCTTCTGAGGTGCCTCTGGGTGGATTCAAACTATAGATGTTTTGGTTAATAGCCAAGCACTTAACTGTTTGAACCACCCATGGACTCCTTGGTGAGTATTACAGATATCTAATGTTAAATGTAAAGAAAATTCTCATAGATATTTACTTCCAGGCATTGGTGTTCAGTTGTTCTGTCTATGCCACTTCATTTGATTTATTGCCCCATGGTTGCCAAAAGTGCCTCAGGTCAGGATGAATTTTTAAAAATAACTAAAAAAAACATTTGCACAATTTTTGTCAACTGGAAAAAAATCAGAATGGTCAAATACAGTATCCATATTTGATTTATGAAATTATACTATTAATAGAATAATAGTAGACAGACTATTGCCACACTAATAGTATAAGTATAAACAGTATACCTGAATAAATTTAAGATTATAAGCACTGGGTTTATCAGTGGAATCTTGATTTGCCTAGGTTACTTCCAGGATTACTGTTTGACTAATAGAGAGTAAGAGATCTGTTTCATTTCAGATTTCAGTTTATTTTTAACTACAGACAAGTAGGAAGTAGGTGGTGGAGCTCAATAGAGGAATATACTCCCTGCCTTAGGATAGAATAAATTCAGGCTGAGATACACCTAGCCCACTGCACCCTTCTTTTAGATACATATACTGTAACTACCCAAAATTTCTTGAGTGAAGTCCTTAAGTACTAGTGATTCCACAGTTCTACCTGTGGACTTGCTAGTACCCAAGATGTCCGAGGGTACCAGTTTCATTTTATCTGCTCTTATATCTGGATTCCATTACAAATTCTCAGCTGTCACTGCCTATAGAGGGCTATCCCACTTTACTGCCTATAGAGGGTTATGCCTACTTCTCAGTTTTTTCTCAGGTCCTTGCTGTTTTGGCATCAGTTGAAGAGAGTCTTGCTATACTTCCGATGATTTGTTTCATTTTTTTCAAATTCTCTTGTTTTTCCTAGCATCATACCTATTGTTCATCATTCATATTTTCACTTACTGAGACCATTTAATGCAAGTAGTAACTTTATAGTAGGTATAGCATACCAGGCTCTTGTTTGTTTGAGAGGAGTAGCAAAAAGTAATCAAATTGCAAAATGTTTATGTGTTCGGTACCAGAGAAAAAAGAATAGATTATGTACTTGCCTCATTACATACTATTAGATAGTTAAAAAGAGACACATCTGCTTATGTTTGGCTATCCATCCATTCATAAACATTTTTATAAACATGGTGTGTTTTGTTTTGTCACTATTATAATACTATCTCAAGGTAGAGATAGAATGTGTCATTTATCTATTTCTGAATTTGGATTTAGGCCCATATGTAGAAAGAACTGTAGAAAATTTGTTAATTTGAATCTTCAGTTAATAGCCATAATCATTGTGTTTATGTGAACTAAAGCCTCCTTGTTCAGTCAGTACTAATCATGAATAAAATGTAACAAGCTTAAATTTCATTTGTGAGTAGTACATTTGCTTTTTAAAGCAGCAGCCTAGGCACACTAATTCTCACTAGAATATTTTCATGTGAATGTAGTTATTATCAAGACCTAACATCTTTATGCCAACAAGAAATTTCATTTTAGGGCTACAGAAGCTGATTAAACATTTTATAAACAGTATTGTTTGGGTTTTTAACCATTATATACATATATTTAAAGACACACACACACACATACACATATATATTTACATTTTACCATGGTCTTCCTAAAGTCTTGATATATTTTTAAGCCCAAATAACTAGCATAGATGAAAAGGTATGCTCTGTCTAAAGATTTAAAAAATTTATGATTCTCTTACTTGAGAAAAAATCATTTTTCCTTTCAATTACACATTATTCTGTCATGCCTGCAATCTATTATTAGCTGGTAAAAAGAACAGATTTATTAGTGGTAATATTAAAAATGAAATAGTGTTGTTGACAGTTACTCAGCAAACTTCTTGAGCTCTAGTGACCCATTTTATTTAGTAATTACTGAGTTTTTAATAAGTTTTGTGCTTAAAAAATTACTCCTAGATCCCTCTCTTGATAACTAGATCAAATATAGAATGAGTAGGAAAAATACTGAGTTTTTCTGAAGCCTCTTCTGGAGTTACTTCTATTATAATTTGGAACTGAGAATTTGAAAGAAATCGTTAATGCTCTTTTTTTCATGCCAGGAATTAAACTGGCTCTGTAACTCTTTTCTTGGTTATTATGAAAACAAAACTATTTAAAACAATGGTCCTTGAAAAACCATTTGTGCCTCATTAACATTGATTTTGAGAATATAGATCATGTATTGATTAATCTTTAAATTATTTTTTCATATTTTGGTCAGATAAATTCAGACGTACGTAATGGAATCAGTTTCTTTGATTGAACTACACTCTAATATCTACATGATTATACAGTAAGGAAAAAGTGATAAAGAACTATAGTAGACCTAGTAAAAGTTTGTTGTTGATTATCATATCACTCACATAGACAGTGCATATTTCTACCACACACAGAAATATATATAGGAGGCAGATTGTCTGATTTGTTGATTATCTAGTTCCTATGCTTTTTTTGTTGATTATCTAGTTCCTATGCTTTTTTTTTTTTTTGAGTTCTGCAGGTGCTGTGGTTAAAGCATTGGGCTGCTAACCAAAAGATCAGTGGTTTGAATCCACGAGCTGCTCCGTGGAAGAAAGATGTAGCAGTCTGCTTCGGTAAAGATTTACAGTCTTGGAAACTCTATAGGGCAGTTCTTCTCTGTCCTATAGGGTTCACTAGGAGTCGGATTTTTTTTTTTTTTTTTTTTTTTTAAACTCCAAACTTCTCACAGCGTAGGACATTCTATTCACTTTGCTGCTTATTAGTGCCTCTTACAGGAAGTGGTCAAGTGAAATGAAAGCAGGTAAAACTCAGTTTTCAATTTAGTTCTTGAAAGCTCTAGGGAAAACAGGAAACAAAGATGATGAGATAAACTAGGGCTATTGATTTCTGAGTCTTCAGATAATTCTGTTAGCCTATATTTTTATTTTAGGCATTAAGTCTAATTAGTGTAATTTTTTGCTTCATTATTAGGTTTTGTGTAAACTTTTACAGTGCTAAATTTTAAATATTAGTGATTTGTTACTAAAATTAGTTGGGAACATAAATGTGTGGGACTAGGCATTTACTGATTATTTTTCATCATCACTTTTTGTTTTCTCAGTGTATAGTGTGTGTGAACTTACAAATCATAGGAAATAAGATACTTTGAAGTTCAATGAGGAAGGTCAATTTGGAGAATATGGCACTCCCAGGGATAAAAGAAACAATTAAAATATCTGTATTGTGAAATTATACAGAAAACTTAGTTGTCACATAAGGTAACTATGGAAGATATTTTACAAGATGAGTCAGACTATCAGGAGTTAAATTTTTATCAGTCTTTCTGAGCAAAGAACAACATTTTAAAACTGTAATGGACTTTTAATTATACACATTGCTCAAGCTTTCTTTCACACTAAATTTTAACAGACTAAGGAAATAAGAAGTCTGTGAGGCTTTACACATTCTTTACTTTAAGTAGGAATTATAGAAAGAAAAGTCAGATCAGTAATCCAAATATGTGTACTATAAATGTTCATGAATTCACATTTTTTGATAAATCAAACTTTATTATGGTACAGAAGACTGAATTTTTCTATATATTAACTTAATTTTGAGAACAGAATAAAATTAAGAAATACCCAAATGTCTGCATATGAAAATAGGCAAACTTCCTCCATTAATAAGATGAATATGAACAGTACACCTGGATTGATAACATATGCTACATCTTGATTAAATTGTCTATAGTGGGTAATTTTTAAATCAAATACAATACTTTCTTAAAATTGTTTGGCACGTTAAGCTGCCAAAACTGTTTTGAAATACCAAGTAACCAGTTAATTTCTGATGACTTTATAATAAGATTTGATATATCTGAGTCAGAATCATTCTGTACTCATTCTCTGTATTGTAACTTTGAACATTTATGAAAAACCGTGTATGTTGATACATTTTGATTAGTTAGTATAAATTTATTTGCAAATTTGAATCCTATTCTTAGTTTAGGGAGTCTGAAAGTTTGGAAAGTCTAAAAGTAGCCATTTTTGTAAAGTTCATATGCTATTTTTGTTTTAATGTTCAGTTTCTAGTATTTATATAGTAGTGATAGTAGTTACTAATAAAACAATTTATAGACAAAGCATAAAACTTTTAACTGTTCAAAAGCCTAAGTGCTAGGCATATTTTATATTTCATGTTGTACTTGTTCTGTTTCATATTGGACTTTTTACATCCCTTTTTAAGGAAAAAAAGACTTTTTTTGTTTTGTTTTGCATAAAGTTCAACATTGGGAACTATTAAACTGTATTCATATGATTAGCAAAACACAGCCACCAAAGCGAAATGACATTGTAAAATACCTCTGGATATTTGTGCCAATGAAC